ATTATTCACTTGTCTTGTCGGGTTATAGTGAAGTCCTCTTATATTTTTCCCTTGCAAGCTGAAATCTGTCTGAAACCATTAGCTGTACTATGCTCTCTGTGAATGCTATAGACCCAGTCCTCTGGCTTTTAAAAGGACTACACTCTGCTGGTTTCAGATTTCATTGTGGTGACTTAGATGTGGCCCAGATGCCATTGTAATAACTTGCATTTGAGATTTGTGTCTACAATTAGATAGTATAATAAAGCACATGAGGAATTGTATTTTGTCTACCCCTAATTGCCTGTGTTTCATTAGGGCAAAATAACATTTTTAAGGTGTTAAAATTAATATTTTTCTGGACTCCTTTCTGAGAAATAATGGTCCCTTTTCTAGATATTCATACTATCAAATTTTTATTTTTTTCTTTATTATTTCATGTTGTATGTGCATGTGTATGTATGTGCATATGTGTGTTAACAGACTAAGCTTTAATTAATCCTTAGTTTTGGCAGTACTGAATTCTGAAAGTCACAGTCAGTAAGTTTTTACACTAGAACTCAGATACTGGTGATGGTTGAGGTTGGGATATTTAAGCTTGAAGGCTTCAGAACTGGAATCAGACCCAGATGGAATGATGTTGTAGTGAATAGAACAGAGAATCACTTACTGAGCAGTAATATTTCCTGGTCCCCTCTCTACCTTAACTGAATCAGGATCTCTTAGAATAGGGCTTCAGAGATCTCAGGTAACTTTTAGTATATTAAAGTTTGAGAACTTCAGATAAGTGACTTTTAGGAATAAATTCTATCCTCTGTGTAATATTTGAATAGTATATATCGATTTTTTTCAGATTTGTAGGAGTAAATGCTAGTCTGATATGGAATTTGTTTTTATCACCAGTTGTTGATTTTCTATGAAGTTGGGAAATACTGAGCTAGCACAGGAAGACAGAAAAGTAGCACATTATCAGATATAAGTAACAGCCAAGGCAGTGATCTCTGGTCTCAGAGGTTTCAGCTGTGACATGGAAAGTGAGACAGTCACCTGATACATTATTCATACTTAAGTAACAGTGTTATTTGAGATATTTTAAACTCTTTGAGGTCACAAACCAAAACATCTTTGCAATAGTTTGACCAAATGGTCAAGTTATGCTCCTTGAAATTAAAATAAGACATTGTATGTCCTCTTTCCATGATGAAGGGTGTACCTTTGTTAAGTTTGGGGTGTATTCTTTCATACCATTTCTCTGCTCATAAATAGATACATATTTACATACATTCACTTATATGCTGGCATATTTTAAATATTGATATGTATAGACAGATTGCCCCTCTTTTCTCAAATGCTATAGCAATTTATGATTCCATTATTGTAGGATATTATAGCCTTTAATAATTTTATGAATAGGATAGGGAACACAATTTAACTATTAATGAGTTTGAACATCTGGGTTTTTTTTTAACATGTATTATTTATTTTTATTTCTTGTGATTTGCTTTCTAATTTGCTTGTTTTAAAATTGGTTTGTTAGGTTTTGTTTTGTTTTAATTTATTGGAGTTCCTTGTATAGTATGGATATTTACTCTTTTGTCTGTTATATGATGGAATAATGTTTACTTAGCTATTTCAGTGATGTGATAATAATTAACATTTTGCTTTGTACCGGGAATTCTTCTGAGTCCTTTCTGTGCAATTTTTTCTTTTAATCTTCACTGTTGTCATGTCTACTTTATGGATGAGGTGACTGTGATGCAAGGAGGTTAAGTAAGTTGTTTGAACACATGTGACTGAGTGGGAGAGCCAGGATTTGAATCTAAAAAGACTAGTTTTAAAACTGTTACATTTAACCTTATACTTTATCTTTACTTACTAAGTTTTTTCAATGTAAATAACTGAAAATAAAAAAAAAATTTTTTTTAGTTTTAAAGATATTCAGGACACCTGGGTGGCTCAGTTAGTTAAGCATTGGATTCTTGATTTTGGCTCAGGTCATAGATCTCATGGTTCATAACATTGAGCCCCGGAAGCCTCACTTCAGACTCTGTGCTGACAGCCTGGAGCCTACTTGAGATTCTGTTTCTGCCCCTCCCTGCTCATGCCTTTTTCCTCCCTCTCTCTCAAAAATTAATAAGCTTAAAAAAATAAAGATATTTAATGATTTTAATACAAATACTCGTTTAGGAATAGTGACACAAACGTGTGTGTTTATGTATCTATACACATAATTATATAGTTGGTAAACAGATTTAATACTATAATGTATTAATACAGATATTTCATAGGCTTTTAGTGACGTTTGTCCTATTTCTATTTAGAACTGACCTTTAGTAGCATATTCCCTTCCTTTTTTCTATTGATTACCATAATAATCTGTTAATCTTCATGTGGCTAATCATTTTGCTTTAATCCTCAACAGTGTTATTGGAATAATCATTTTAAGTATGGTGTTGATCATGTTACTCCTTTGGAAACTTTCAGTGGTATCACATTTCTTGCTTAATGAAGGCCAGCCTCTTTCCTTACCTGGGCATTTGAAGACTTACATAACTGTTTCACCTTTACCTTTCAGGAATTGACTTGAGCAATTTTTTTTTTTTTTTCTGTTTAAAAAATTTAGTTTGCTGGCTGTGATGCAATGTGTAGTATACTAGTCTTTGAATCTAATGGTTCAAGTTCAGATTTCCATGGCACTTTATTTTGTTTGCATGCAATAGGACATAATCCAAAGCACTGCCATTTCTAGAATTTCTGTATAGGTATGACCTAAGATGTGTCAGACTGGTTGGAAAGGGAGTGAGGGAATCAAGTACATTTATCTGAAACGAGGTTTGCATAACAAACAAAAGATTTTTCTTTCTTAACATTGTGTATTGGAGTTGATGGGAGATTGGGTATGGGGGGCAGGACTGAAGTCTACCCCTGCCACCCTAGTGTTCCGCCACTGGTATTAGATACAGGTTTGCAGTATCTGAAAGACCCTCCTTACTATGTGATCTTGAGCAATATACTTAACTGTAAATGTTAATTTTCTCCTTTGAGCAACTTTTCTTGACACTGCATACAGCAGACAAATGGGATAATTTGTTATTTACTTCGGGAATTACATTCTTCTGGCTTTATACTCTGATCAGTTAGTGTTCTTAATCAGACAAAGAAGCTTGCTGACCTGATTGAGAAGATGAAGAATTTATTTAAGGGTGTTTGGTACCTCATAGAATTTTGGGGGAAGGCTGGAGAACCAGGCTTCAGGTTAAACTTACAGGTAATATGCCTCATATCATTTCTGAGAACTGTCACTTCTCTAGCCCCACCAAGCACCAGTGCTGCCCAGTTGCTGCCCTTCTGGGGTGGTGCTCCCATTGTGGAAGGCCGATGCCTCTGCTGTTGCCTATGCCAGCCAAAAATGGTGGGTCCATCTGGAGCCTGTTTTCTAAGTGACTCCCTTCCAAACTGAAATCTTGTGCTGGTGCTTCTAATGTCTGCATCATAGTTGCAGAATATGTTGGGAATTTGACATCTAAAATTAATTTCGTGTGATTAGACTTATAATAATGTGGCAATTTTCATGAGTATAAAAAGGTTCTGCAGAAGCTGATGAAAAGCTTGAACATGTTAAATAAGTGTTCACTATAATACTTTTGCTTGTATTCTACCATCTGTAATATTTTTTCTTCTTTATCTCCAAGTGAAGAAATTCTGTGTAAAGACCTACTGGAATTTCATTGTTTGAATTAGTCTGCCTAGCTCTTTCTAATGTGAATTTTCTTATGACCTTTTCATCATTTCTTTTTGCATTATTTTATTTCTTTAAAACAATATCAGTGCTAACAAGTAATAGTAAATATATTCTAATGTACCAAACAATATGGAAAATATAGAATAAACTCTGAAGGTTGCCTTTTACTACTCATCTCTTCTCCCTTCATACTTTCAATTGCTATCCTATTTCGAAGCTTCCTCTGGTAAAATTTATAATCTTTAATTTTAAGTTGGCACATTTGATGATAATTTGGAACTTGATGGTAAGTTCATGGAATATAGAGGTCTTTATTTGTGCTTTGGGTTTCCATGGAGCCTCTAAAACTGTTACTGTGTGTAGAACAATAACACAGGAAGGCTTGACCTAAGGCAATAGCTGTGTAATCATTTTGGAAGTGAAGGCTTACAACTTAGGGATTTAGTGAATGTGCAGAGAAAGATAGCCATCTAAAGTAGACTCCAGGAGTTCTAGCTTGGGAATCATACCATTGATGATGCCATTTAAAGGAGACTAGGAATGGAGGAATTACTCTGTATCTACAAATATATTGCTGGAATGCTTTCTGATTATGTTCCACTGTTTATTTATTTTGAGGGAGGGAGAGAGAGAGAGCCAGCGTATGTGAGTGGAGGGGGGAGGAGGAGGAAAGAAAGAGAATCCCAAGCGTACTCCCAGCCTTTAGTGCAGAGGCCGGTATGGGGCTTGAACTCATGAAGTGCAAGATCATGACCTCAGCCGAAATCAGGAGTTGGACGTTTAACCCACTAAGCCACTCAGGCACCCTACCCGTATTTCTGATTTGAATTAGAGTTTGGGCAGGTGCTAAAATGTTTAAGTGTGGCATAGATTTCCACAGTTCAGGAAAGACCATGAAAAATACATTTTCTGGTAAAGTTATTTCTGGGCTGAATGATGAATAAGACCTCTCAGTGAGGAGATGGATTTTTCTTTTAAAAAAGTAAAAATAAGTAAATAAGGTGACTATAAACCTGTTTTCTCGTCCTTTGTCATCTGTAAGCAGATAGTAAATGGGCATATATTCCATTGTGTATCCATTTTTAGAAAATAACATTTGAAAGTATGTTTGGTTTATTTCAGGTAAACATAATGATAATAAACTCATTTTGATAGAGTATCTCTGAAAAACTTGTGCTGGGAAACCATATTCAGATATTTGTTTTGGCATTTCACATTTAGACCCTTCCCCCCCACCCCCATTAATTATAACTAATTTGACATTCTTTTCTCTTTCCAGATCATTCAACCTCAAGTGGCACATTATCTTTTAAGCCTAGTCGGTCGTTGGTTACTCTTCCTACTGCCCATGTCATGCCGTCTAACTCCAGCGCTACAGTTTCCAAACACAGGGAATCATTGACGTCAGATGGCTCAAAATGGAGTACTAGCCTCATGCAAGCATTGGGAAACCACAGTAGGGGAGAACAGGACTCTTCACTAGACATGAAGGACTTCCGGCCCCTCCGGAAATGGTCATCTTTATCCAAACTCACTGCCTCGGATAACTTCAGCCAGGGTGGCATTGTACACACTGAAGAGTCAAGGAGTGGTTTGGAAAAGACAGGGAGAGGCAAGGTTTTAACCTCGCAACTAAGAACAATTGGGCCTAGCTGCTTACATGATAGTATGGAGATGCTTAAACTAGAAGACAAGGAAATAAATAAAAAACGATCGTCAACTCTGGACTGCAAATATAAATTTGAGAGCTGTAGCAAAGACGACTTTAGAGCTTCCTCCTCCACCCTTAGGAGACAGACCTTAGACATGACATACAGTGCCTTACCTGAAAGCAAGCCCATTATGACAAATGCAGAGGCTTTTGAACCTCCGAAATATTTACTGCTTGGTCAGCAGGCAGTAGGTGGAGTCCCCATTCAACCTTCTGTGAGGACACAGATGTGGCTTACGGAGCAGTTGCGGACAAACCCATTGGAAAATAGAACTACAGAGGACTCTTACAGTTTAGCTCCTTGGCAACAGCAGCAAATTGAAGAGTTTCGACAAGAAAATGAAACACCAGTGCAGGTATGGCTCAAAGTCTAGTGTTTGCTTCCCTCCAGTGGATGTTACGAGTACAGTAGCACACTTGCAGTAAGTGTATGACAGTGTGTCCACAGACACAGATGGTTTTGTTTTTCCTCTTTCCTACAAGTTACTAAGTTTATAAAAGTTGCTACAAGTTTATAAAAGGTATAAACTCCCAAAGTATTGTTTGGATAAACAAAAGTTAAACAAAGACTTGAGGCTGATTAACATGGAAAATTTTAAATCTTGTACCTAACTTAGTTTTCACTTTCCTTCTCATTTGTTAAGTGGGCATAAAAATAAAGAAAAATATACTTAATTTAAAGAAACTTGAAACAGATATGGGGACTGGCACAGTATAATTGGAAAAACAGTAATTCTGGAGTATGAGGTCTTGGATTTTATTTCTGGTTCTATCAAATTCAGAACCTGGATGATTTTCTACCTGTCATTTAATACTTCATTTCTTTGGGTCTTAGTTTCTTTTCCCTTTCTTCTTTTTTTTTTCTTGAGATATAATTGACATATAACATTACATTAGTGTCAATTCTACATCATAATGATCTGCTATGTATGTTTTGTGACCTTATCACCACAATAAATTTAAGTCTGGTTAACGTCCCTCACTATGCATAGTTTCCATTTTTTTTCCCCTTGTGAGAACTTGTAAGATTTTCTCTTAGCAACTTTCAAATATATAATACTATATTATTAATTATAGTCATCATGGTATATATGATGCTGTACAAGTCACATCCTCATGACTTATGTATTTTATAGCTGGAAGTTTGTCTTTTGATTCCCTTCACCTATTTTGCTCACCCCCAGCCCATGGCAACCACCAGTCAGTTCTCTATATCTGTGATTTTTTTTTTTTTTTTAAGGTTCTACATGTAAAAGATCATATGGTATTTGTCTTTGACATAATTCACTTAGCATAATGCCCTTAAGGTACATTCATGTCACAAATGGCAAGATTTCATTTTTTTTTTAGTGACTGAATAATATTGTGTTGTATATGTACCACATTTTGTTTATCCAGTCAGTCATCAGTGAGCACTTAAGGTTGCTTTCATGTCTTGGCTGTTGTAATTAGAGCTGTAGTGGACATAGGAGTGCATATATTTTGGGGAGTTAGTGTTTCCATTTCTTTCAGATAAATACCCAGAAGGAGAATTTTTTAATTTTTCATTTTTTGAGGAACCACCCACACTGTTTCCCATAGTGGCTGCATAAATTTACATTCCCACCAACACTACACAAGGGTTCTTTTCTCTCCATATCTTCACCAACACTTATTATCTCTTGTCTTTTTGATCGCCGTTCTCACAGGTGTGAGGTGATAACCTCATTGTGGTTTTGATATGCATTTTGCTGATAGTGATGTTGAGCACCTTTTCATGTATATGTTGGCCATGTGCATGTCTTCTCATTTCTTCATCTATGAAATGAGAAAGTGAAGTAAAGTTATTTATAAAGTTTTGGTGGTGTTTGAAATCTGTTAGGTTTATAAAATAGAGGTGTGCTTATTTTAAAAAGATTAAGTTGGGTATCAAGATTTATTAATCAGTTTGAGGAAAGCACTTTATAAAATATCACATATAAATAAAATGGGTGTGTATCCCCTAAAGTAACATGTAAATGGGTACATTTTTTTTGATCCGGAAATGTTTTCTATTCCAAGATAATTTCCACAGCTCATTTTAACTGGGAAAGCAATTATCTGTAGAATTTTCTGTAAATTCTATCATCCATTTTTTATTAACAGTATTTTCTGAAACAGTATTACTGAAACAGTAATTTTCTGAAATTAATTCTGTCAGAAATTACAAACTTTCCCTTAGAGAAAACATTTAAAATTACTATTCATTACTGCTACTAATAAAAAATAATAAAGATTAAAGGAATATATTCTATGGAAGGATAAGGAGATCACTTATCTAGAAACCTCACAAATCTGAGTGTAGTCCCAAAACGTACACACACCCTGTTGTGCTAGATTCACAAGAGAATCCTTAACACGTCCCTTGTGCCTTCCTTACTCTTGTTTTGGGCAAGAGTGCTTATAGTCTTGATTATGTATATTCAAATCACATAACCAAACAAGCATTATTTTTATTTTTTTATTTTTTTTAACGTTTATTTATTCTTGAGACAGAGAGAGACAGAGCATGAACGGGGGAGGGGCAGAGAGAGAGGGAGTCACAGAATCGGAAGCAGGCTCCAGGCTCTGAGCCATCAGCCCAGAGCCTGACGCGGGGCTCGAACTCACAGACCGCGAGATCGTGACCCGGGCTGAAGTCGGACGCTCAACCGACTGAGCCACCCAGGCGCCCCAACCAAACAAGCATTATTATGATGTCTGAACTACAAATCAGAAAAGAGCAACTTAACTAGACTTGTGATTTATCAGTTCAAGTGATTGAAAGATAGGAAATGTAATTTTTAAAAGACTATTACATTTTATTTTTTAATTAAAAAGTTTTTTAATTTTATTTTTGAGAGACACACACACACACACACACACACACACACACACATACACACATACACAGAACAGTGACGGGGAGGGGCAGAGAGAGGGAGACACAGAATCTGAAGCAGGCTCCAGGCTCTGAGCTGTCAGCACAGAGCCTAACTCGGGGGCTGAGCTCATGAACCCCGAAATCATGATCTTAGCTGAAGTCAGATGCTTAACTGACTGAGCCACCCAGGCGCCCCTGTTATATTTTAGTTCTCAACTGCTTTGTGATTATAGGAGAACAGGGATCAGGCATATACTTTTCCAGCGGGTATTTTTGCACAGAATTGTAGTAGTTCACAGGGTGCTGAACCTTTAGTAGGTTGTGATAACCTAACTTAGTAGGTATGATAGAAAGGTAACTGAGAAAATTGGATGAATTGAATTGAAAGAAGTAAGTCCTAATTCACTCATTCTGCTCAGAGAAACCTCTGCTGTAAACTAGTTTTTTCCCAATCTTGAAGCAGTGCAGAGAGGCTAGGGAGCGTGGAGGTGCACTGTAGAGCCAGACTTCTTTTTAAATCTTCTCCCTAGTACATGTAGAGGAAGCAGGCTACAAAGGGACAAAAGTTGCACACGCCCTGGAATGTCCTGCCTTTTGATTAACCATATTTGGGATGGTTTCTTTCTAGTGCTCTTAAGTTTTGTAGTAGAAAGATGAAACCAGGTAAAGAACACTTAAGACACTTCAGTTGCTATGTTTAAATGATCACTTCTCTTACTCCCTTCTTGGACTATTACAGAAGAAGTCTTCAGTGCCTTCTCCTTGGAGCCTCCAAGTGCTGCCTTTATTATAAAAGTTCTCATCTTAATTGTTTCTTAAAAGACTTAAAAAAATTTGACTTCCTTTTACTCTAATTTTTATATAAAGAGAAGAGCCGTAATGAGGATTGGCCTATCTGATAAATTGGGAGAATGTGTATGATTTGCAAGCACAACTGCTAAACTCTCACCATGAAAAAACCGTCTTTTTACAACAATGGAAAGGAATTTGGCTGAGAGTCACAATCTAATACCACCATACATTTATATAGAACTTTAGCTTATCTCATTTGATCTTAACAGGTTTTTTTTCCACTGCTTTTGTCCCTCAAAACGTTACTATTGTAATGCGAAAGTTTTGCTCTTCTTAGGGATAATCATTGACTTAGCCTCGCAGTCTAATGTTCATGCTGTTCCTTGCTTCCCGTGATTTCCTGCTAAATCAGAGTGCAGGTAGTATAGTACTCTGAAACGTTTTCCTTTGTGAAGGAAGAGAAGCCATCTGTGCCTTGAGGTGGTTAGAATATATATACACCTCCATGTGCAAACTGTCTTTGGGTCTTTTCTCTGTACTATGTTGTCCCTCTCCTGTCACCCTTCCCCAAATCTCTCTGACCCTACAAGGACTATGATAGAAGAGAAAAACAAACAACAAAGCCTTGTCTTCTCTTTGGAGAGAATGTATCCCTTACTATGTCCCTCTTGTATTTCTTCTTTGGGGAGCAGGGGAATGGGATGGGAATGGAAATTGTATACCTCTGTATAAAACAGTATCTGTTGGGTTCCTATAAGCTCACAGTGCGTCTCTCAGGTAGTAGTGAAGAAATGGACTCTTTATGGACAAAGTTGTTTATTCTTTTTTTCTCATATTCCCTAGGATGTTTCTAAGTTCTGGGTTGCAATTATTAAAAAGAGGAAGATAGGATTTTCTTCCTAATTAAATCATGCAGGGGCTTGATCAGCCAAGATATTGACACCTAATGATTTCAACATTTTTTTCTGGAAAATTTATATAAATCAAAAATGTAAATAAAAATTTGATCAAATGACTTAAAGTGAAATGACTTGGTTTTTGTTTAACATGATAAGAGATTGAAAAAGTTTTATTTATTTTATTTTTTTATTATTATTTTTTAATGGTTATTTTTGAGAAAGACAGAGACAGAATGTGAGTGGGTTAGGGGCAGAGAGAGAGTGAGACACAGAATACGAAGCAGGCTCCAGGCTCTGAGCTGTCAGCACAGAGCCCGACATGGGGCTTGAACTCACAAGCTGTGAGATCATGACCTGAGCTGAAGTTGGATGCTCAACTGACTGAGCCACCCAGGCACCCCCTTTTTTTAAATGTTTATTTATTTATTTATTTATTTTGACAGAGAGAGCTCGAGTCAGCGAGGGGCAGAAAGAGAGAGACAGGATCGCAAGTGGGCTCTGTGCTGATAGCAGCGAGCCTGATGTGGGGCTCAAACTCAGGATAGGTGAGATAATGACCTGAGCCAAAGTTGGAGGCTTAACTCACTGAGCCACCCAGGCGCCCCTGAAAAAGTTTTATTTTTAACATGAGAGTGTTTTTTGTACTCTGTTACATACTATGAAAAAAAAGTTTTCTTTTTTTCTTATTTTTGTATTGTTTATCTTTAATTTTTTGTTTTTGTTTTTATTGGTTAAAAAAATGTAACTGTGCATTGAAAGATGTGGACCCTATGACAGTCTAAAT